GAGCAGGAAACATGAGTGTGCAAGTATTTGAGATTTTTTAATTTTTTTTTTTTTTTTTTTTTTTTTGGACCTGTATCTTTATGTTACTTTGGGAAGATACACATAATTGTTAATTGATAGAATTTAGGAAATCTCAGGTATAGTAGTAATGGTCAAATTATTAATGACACCTGTTGTGCAGCTAGTTGGTAACAGAATCTAGACCTAGTTCCAAGCATAAGAAATTTTGTAGATACAGTATTTTAAGAGTAGTATGCATGGGCCAGGGAGATGGCTCAGTAGAATAAGCACTTCCCTGATAAGCACAGGGGCCTGAATTCAATCCCTGGTTCTGAAAAAAAAAAAAGAGTAGTATTCATTTTTAGAAGCCCTTGAAAAAGAGAAATTAGTGCATTTCACTTATCTGTTGCTGTGAGTCACCTCAAAACTGATTGGGTATTATGATTTTTGTTGGTTCAACAGAATGTTGATGGAATAGCTGAGGTACCTGTATGTCCAGCTCTCTAGGAACTTAATGAGGCAGTCAGTTGGGAATTTTAGGTCTTTTAATGAGGCTAATTGGGCTTTGCAGTATGATAGCTAGGATTGGAAGTTGGGTTTAGGGAGACAATCTCAAGTCTTTTAGAGGTTCATTTATAAGACTCCCCCACCCCCAACCAGGGATTAAACTCAGGTCCTTGTGCTTGCCAGGGAAGCGCTCATTCTACTGAGCCATCTCCCCGGCCCTCAAGTCTTTTTGAGGCAAGGTCTCATGCAGTTCAGGCTGGCCTTGAACTCAGTGATCCTCCTGCCAGGCCCTACCAAGCCTTAATCCAAGTCTTTATTAAGCCTCCACATGTGTCACATGTTTTAGTGTCCTTTCTGCTCTGTGACTACACAGCAGAACCCAGTCTGTGTCTCATTGACTGTAAGGTCCCGAATTACAAGGAGAGTGTAGTTCTTCAGTTCAGTGGAGGCCACCAAGGAAGCAGTCTGCCATACTTAGAGAGAAGGCATATTTTATTTAATTTATTTATTTATTATGTATTTATATAGTACAGGGTCTGCAGGGTCTCACTACATAGACTGGACTTGTAGTTATCCTCCTGTTTTCAGCCTCCCAAGTGCTGGGATTACAGGCATGCCCCACCACGCCCAGTCTCAATCACCTGTCTCAGCTCCTAAGCAGGCACTTTAGTCCGCTGAGCTATCTGGCCAGCCCGAGAAGGTATATTTTAAGTGAAGGCATTTAGTACTATATATAAGTCCTTTTATTTTGTAGAATATTTTGGTAGTCTTCAGTCAGGAAGAATTTATTAGTGATCTGTATGTATTTTTGTATTTGGTTTAAATTGTCTTAATGCACAGTACGATTTGATGAAGACATTAAAGTTCAGCCAATTTGACTCTAAACCTAATAAGGGTATAAAATAGCAATGTTCTCAGATTTATGTTCAGTTTTAGAATATAAGAAAAATAGAGATTGCTATATGTAATATTATTTGAAAATTCAAGTATTTAATGTAGTGTTTGTCAAAAAAAGCGCTCTCCAATTTCTTTACATTGTTGAAAGTTTAAAAATGTATTTGACATTGAATTTGTGAAAGCAAAAATAAATGTTTTTCTGTTAATGTACCCTACCCTTATCAAACCTTTGATTACTAAAATTAGCTAGAAAAAATATTTTGTGCAGTCAGATTTTTGTTGGCTCTAATTCTTCCAAATGTAGGCTACTAAATACAGTTGTTAAAGTCAAATTAATCTTAAAATTTATGTATTTTTATGACAGGAATTATAAAATAAATTGAACTTAATAGAATTTCTATAGTTTTTATGGTTTTTGTGTTTCTTTCCTAGTGCATTTATCCCTTGGGCTCTAAATCACTTAGTAATTTAATTTCTCCTGATTCAGAAGATTGTCACACTCGAAATAAGCTTCGAAAAAGAAAGATCTTGGAAACCAGCTGTAAAGATTTATCTCTTTTAGCAAATTCTAAAAAGAGTAGAACTCATATTTTTACTGATGATAAACAGATTTTAAATACTGAACATAATGGAGAAGTATATAATGAAACCTCATCAGATTTATTGCCTGGCAGATGTCAATGTAATTCAATTAGGACAGCTGATTCCGTGGGACAGAATGAGACTTCAGAAGCTGACATTGTTGATGTGGCTACTGAAGATCCTGCTACAGCTAATGTTTCTGGAACTGGGGCAATTTGTTCTCAAAATGAAGGATGCACATCTGAATTTGAAACACCATTGGAGAGAAGACGATCACTTTGCCAGACTTCATATGTCCAGTGGAGAAATGCTAATGCTCTCTGCTGGTTAGATTCTATCCTGTCAGTTTTGGTGCACTTGGAAGCCTTGAAGAACACTGTGACTGAGTTCTGTTCTAAGGACTCTGTGTTTTGGCGGTTGTTTGAAAAATATGATCAAGCAAATGAGCTCCTGTACCCCAGTGAGTTAGATGAAGTTAAAGGTTGGTATTAATATATTACTTCATTCACAGTGGGAGGAAAAGATGCCGTTGGTAGTTTCTGTTCTCTGTAGAGTTCTAGGGCCAGGGAGTCATGAGTTAACACTAATCAGAACATTGTAACTGCCACAGAGGCAGCTTTTTCCAAAAACTAAGAGTGAAGAGTTTATGGTTGTTCCTCAGCCTGTGGAGGTGATAGTAGTCATCATAGCATTCTAGCAAAGTAAAATCTTAAGTTTTAACTACAGAAAAGTGGACTAAAGTAAACCAAAATTTCACCCCCATATCTCACTTTATGACAAGGGATGTATGACTGTTCTTTTCTATAAAATAGGATACACAATGAATCTCCCTTCCATCTCAAGAAGTATTTAAAAAGTCCAGTTAATTCTACCTGTGTGTTTGTCTTATCTCCTACCCCCCTTTACCCAAAGGTAATAATTACCTTGCATTAGATTTTATAATTTCTTAACATGTATAGTAAGCAATATATTGCATGTATAGTTTTGAACTTTTTATAAAGGGCATTGTTCAGTGTGTACTCCGGTACCTTTCCTTTTTGTAAGGTTCTGTGAGGCTACCTTAGTTGTGGTTCAGTGATTATCATTGCTGTATAATATTTGCATTTTGGAGCTTCATCAATGCTGTTTTCCCTCAGTATTTGTGGGAGATTGGTTCTAGGACCTCCCTCAGAATCCTAAGTCCAGGGGTGCTCAAGTCCTTTATATACAATGCCATTATGTTTGTGTAGACCCTTTCTTTGTATGTCCTCCCCTATATATACTTTAATCATCACCTCAAGTGCTGTGCAGATAGTTATTACAATATATAGGGAATAATGACAAGGAATGGGAACACATAGCTTTCCTTTGGGGACTAATGTTAGTGGCTTTTTAAAGAAATTTTTTCCCACAGTCAAGATGTCATTCACTAATATTTTCCCTGAAAAATCAGTTTTATTTTTGATATTGAAATTTTTAACTAGTATTAGTATTATGTGTTCTGTGAAGGGAAGGATCCATTCTTTCTTCTTTGCATAGCCAGTTTTCTGCTCCTCTTATCAGCTGATCTGCCATGCCACCTTTGTCGTGTGTCAGCATTCTGTATGCATGTGCGGCTGCCCCTTGGCTCTCAGTTTTGTTCTCTATGTCTGTCTACACCACTGTTCATTATGGCTTCTTATTGAACTTTTTTTTTTTAATGCCTTATTACATTTCTTTACCTGACCTTATTTGTGCCTTTTTTTTCCTTTTAATGACAGACATACCATTATGCCAAGATATTTTTGTTTTTATATTTTTTGTTGTGGTTGTTTGTTGTACTGTTGAATGAATTAAGAGCCCTCACACTGAGCTACACTCTTAGACTTTTTTATTTTCTATTTTATTTTGAGATAGGGTTGATAAGTAACTAAGTTGTCCAGGCTGCACTTCCACTGCTGATCTTTCTAGAGTTAACAGGCTAATTATAGCTAGTATGCTAGGCTCAAGTTTTCTTCATTTGACATTGTAGGTGTTATTCATGTATGTGACTTGGGTTGTCCCATCCTTTGTGTACATCTTGCATATTGCCTCCCCATTACTAACTATGCAGTCTGCATATCACGTTTTACTATTAAGAATTCACACATGACAACTATCCACATATCTTTTGAATACAGTATGATTTATGTCCTAGGAAGGATGTTGAAACATGATAGTTAATGGTGTTGCTCAATGGCTTTCCAGAAAGGTTGTGTTAATTTTATTTGGAAACCTGGTGTGGTGGCACACGCCTATAATCCCAACACTGGGGAGGCTGAAACAGGAGTATCACTACAAGTGTGAGCTGCGTAGAGAGACCCTGTATCAATAAATTAAAAAAAAATTAAAAATAAAATTTCTGTCTTGAGAAAAGTCTCACGTTTTCCAAGTTGAGCTCAGACGTGCAGCTTTCCTGCCTCACCTTCTTGAGTAGTTGGCATTACAGTCATGCCTTTGTCTACTGCCCTTGGCTTTTCTTGTTTCAGTTTCTATAGTTGATGAACAGGTGACTGGTTCAGTTGATTATTGTAGAAGAGCAACATTAAATATTGGAATTAATTTTGGTTTTATATTTTTATACTAACTTAACAATACATTACAATTCTTATAATCTGGTCGTTGCCAGCAACCTTGAACCACCAATGGCATATGAATGAATGCCCCTTCAGGTGGCTTTTTATTTATTTCTTTTATTAGTGAAAAAACTGGTAAGTGACTAGGTAGATCCCTTTGTACCACCAGCTGCTGGAGGTCAAGCTGGTGGGAACGTGTAAATGTTGACTTCATGTTAAGGAGAATTCATATATTTTGCTTATTAAAACACATAAGCTGGGTGTGATCAGGTTGTATGTATTTATGAGATTTGAGTGAAAGGATCCCTTTATATTTTAAATATAGCTGTAGCCAAATGCATGTGGAGTCTCTGTGCAGAATAAATTTCCTGTTGATCTTATTAAATTGTGAGGACTTTTACCCTAAAGAAGTGATCAAAAATAAACAGATGCATGCTCAGAAGTCTAATACTGTAGTATTTATAATAATGAAAAAAGAACTTACGTGTCCAGCAAAAGTGATTAATAATCATGTTCTGTGTAAGTTATAGTATAATAACTAGACTGCAGAGTGGTTAATGAAGTAAGTTTCTGTGAACAGAGCAGGACTTGCAATTCTATAAAGATTATGATGCCCACCCCCTGCAAAATAGAATGAAATATATCAAATTTTACTTTGGAAGAAAATCATGACTTGATTAAAATTTCTTAATAAACCTATCTATTCCTATAACTTAGCTGACTTCAAAAACCATTAGGCAAAGTATAATACATGTTTAGATGTTGTTTGTGCCGTAGGTAACAATAACATGTACAGAGATATTTTTACACTGCTTCAGAGATGGCAACATTTCTGAAAGGTAAGCTATCAGCTGATTATTCCTAGTGTGAAAAATCCATGAATTACTCCAAAATCTAAAAGTCTTTGGCCAGCAACATGTCTAAAATACCCAAGCTCATGTGACAGGTCACAGTCAAGAAGCAATATTGAATGAAAATATAGTGTGACATTACTCTCAGGCTGTGTGTATATGAAACATAAATGAGTTTCACACTTAGTCTTGTGTCTCACTCCCTGCTTATCTCATTATGAAGATTCAGTGATCCCAAAATCCAAAGAATCCTGAAATTGAAACACCAATGATCCTGTGTTTTAGTAGGCCTCTGATAAAATTGGGTAAGAAAGGTTTTCACCAGTGTTACGCAGGTATCAATGCTAATAATACGATGCTGATAACAGACAATTGAGGGAATATATGATCTGCCACAGGAGAAGAGTTCAAGACATTTTGTGTTTTGCCTTTTGTATGATTGTTTATAAAATTTAACTATTTTGGTAAGCTTTTACCTTAATTTCTCACTTTTCTGTGGAAAGATACATTTTGATGGAAAATTGATGTTGTTTTAGATGGGGATTGTAAAAAACTTACTTCAGAAATATTTGCAGAGATAGAGGCCTGTCTGAATGAAGTCAGAGATGAAATTTTTACTAAACTTCAGCCCCAGCTTAGATGCACACTAGGTAAGTAATTGTTGTGACTTAACTCATCTGCCATAGAAATCTGTGTTGCGTGAGAAAATACATTGTTTCAGTACTTCGGATGATCATCTGGTAGCATAATTTAGGAATCCACCACAGGCCGAGTCTCTGTTGTGCAGAGCTATTTGTTGTGAATATGTAGACTGGTATTTTTCGTGTCACAAGTGGGTGTAATTCGCAGAACTAAGCTAACACTTGAGGGGGTATACACCCTTGTATTCCTCTGAGACTTCCCAAGTAGGCGAATTCAGTGTTTTCAGCTGTGTGCGTTAAAGAACACAGGGAAGAGCCAGACATGGTGGCACACACCTACAGTCCCAGCAGTCAGGAGGCCAGGCCAGGAGGATCACAACATAGGGCTCATCTGGTCAACTTGGTGGTTAAAACAAAACAAAAACAGCTGGGGTTGTAGTACACCCCCACACACATGAAAACAGAAGTTCTCGGAGGAAATTTTAAAGTACTAGTGCTGGGGCTTTATACAAGTCAGAATTTTAGGGATATGACTCAGGTAATCAGTAGGTTTTAGAAACCTCTACATGATTCTTAGATATGAACAGGATTGCAAGTCTCTGATCTCAAACCACCAGAGTAATTCTGCTTTTCTTACCAGTGATTATGAGAATGGACTTTGGGCCGGCGAGATAGTGCAGCAAACTATAAGTGCCTACTTAGGCAAGTGCAGGGACCCAGGTTCAACCCCCAGTACTGCATGCTGCACCATCCGCACCCCAGATGTGCTGAGCCACTGACTTGAGTCCGGGTGTGGTAGTGTACGCCTGTAATCCCAGCACTGGGGAGGCCAAAAACAGGATCACTATGAGTCCAAGCTGCATAGTGAGACCCTTTACCAAATACATGTTTTAAAAAAACATGGACTTTGGTCAGTGGAATATTGAGAGACACATTGATGACCTTCTGATAAAGCATTCTCACCTTTGAAAATGGAACAAGGACGGGACTTGCTTGTCCTCTGTGAGTTAATTTCTGCCTTTGGGAGCAGGGGGAATTAAGGGAGTTACTATCCATGTCTTTCTAAATTTTTTTGGTGTTATGTAAAGGAGCAGTAGTTTTTTTGGAGGGGGTTTATTTTGTTTTTTTGTTTGGAGTCTATCCAGGGTCAGATCCAGGAATGCTCAAGCACTGAGCCACATTCCCAACCCTTTGTACTTCTGTTTCGAGACAGTGTCTTACTACTTGTCCAGGCTGGTCTGACACTTACGATCTGCACACCGGAGCCTCCTGTGTAGGGATTACTGGCATGTGCCCAGCTTGTACTGGTATTTTGTTTTTTGAGAGGGCTTCTTTTTTTCCCTTTTATCCTTGCATTAACTTTTCTATTAATATTATATGGTACTTCCTATTAGTAATTACCTATGATCAGTCATGTATAATACCCAGTGCCTTCTACAATTTCTCTTCCTAAGTGCCTTTTATTCAGGCACAGTTGCTCCAGAAGCAATTTCTTTTGTCCATGCCTGACAACTTTTTGTTGTTGTTACTAGGAGTTGACCTTTGGTATCAGGACCTTGTGCTTGCGAGGCAGGCACTGTGCCACCAAGCTATATCGCCAGTCCTCCTGGCAGCTTTGGCTTACTTGCCTGCCCCCTAGCTTCTCCTTTGTCATGGACTCCCACATACATGTGTGCTTTGTTTTTATAATGTGAAACTGATTTTCCATACCCTGGACCTCTGGCAGTCTCCTCTAGGTCTAAGAAACTGTCTCATTTACTATCAGGTGGGATCTCCAGTGAGGTGAATATTTTTTTTTCTTTTTTATCAAAGTATAACTTACATACAGTAAAACTTTTAAAAGATACCCATTTAATATATTACTGTAATCCAGATATGAAATATTCTGTCACCCAAAACTTTTCACTAGACTCCTTTGTTGTCTCCTCAATTCTTTTTTTTTTTTTTTGGCGGAACCAGGGATTGAACTCAGGCCCTTGCGCTTGCCAGGGAAGTGCTTATTCCACTGAGCCATCTCCCCGGCACCGTCTCCTCTATTCTTTACCCCCACACACTAAGGTGTTGAGTGATTTTGAAGAACCCTTTTCCAGAACATCCTTAAAGACAAAGTAGCTTACAATCTTTATTGATAAACTGTAACCTGCTGCAAAAAGCACTTTATAGTCTTACTGTATCTTGTCATTCTGAACATTAATGTTTATTTCAAAGTAATTAACAGTGTAGAAGTAGAGTCTACATTGATCCTGAATGTTGATTAAACTTTCTGGATCAGCTTCTTTATAGTAGTGATTATTGGGTTTCATTGTGGGTACTCGGAATTAAATTCAGGGCCTTCACACTGAGGTATATTCCCCTTCCATTTTTTATTTTGAGATGAGGTCTTTACCCCAGTTGGGACTTGAATTTGAAATCCTCCTGCCTCAGACCCCTCTAAGTGTTGATTGCTTTTAATGAAGTAAACATTTCCATGACTCTTTACAATCTAGCTTTTGAAGTTTTCTGTTAATAGTTCATTAGTATCTTCAAGCCATTTTGCCATTTTGTAATAGTGTGTAAGGGTAGACAGTGGCAGAGAGAGTCTAGATGAAAACCTCCCCTTTCAGCTACTTTGTACTGAGACAGTTATGCACATGAGCAGGAAAAGAATATGAAGAAAGTGCTGGGACCACTGGGGACATGGGTCTACAGTTCACAACATAAGCAGAAAAAAATATTTCATTGTATTTATTTAAAGACTTAGGTGTGAAAAACGCAAGTCTAAAATGGAAGAAAATACACCTGTCGCTTCAGAGTGGGGAGGGTTTCTTTAACATAAGATAAAAAAAGATTCATAACTGAAAGTTTTAAGCCTCTTGGCATAGTGCATGGACATAATAGCCAGAATATCTTCAAAAGAACACTTAAGAAGAAGGTGACCTGAAGGTGGTAATGCACAGTTAGCAGAAGTGAAAAGAGTAGCTAGACAGCAGAGGCACTGAAAGGCTTGCAAGTGAGAAAATATTTCAAAGAAATATGCAAATTGCACCAAGACATAGCCTAGAGAATTGGGATTAAGTTCTAGAGGAAAAAAGACTGCTTAATTTAGGCAGATTATAAAAATGAAAATTAGGCATTGATGTTTTATGTTCTCTAGGATGACACTTTATACTTAGTACTTAAAATTGTAATCTGAGGAAGAAAAATATAGATAAATTTGCAGTTATGTAACTTACCTAAGATCTGTAACCATGTAACTTATTTAAGTGTTTTGAGCTCTTGGGTGATATTTTGATTCACTGAAAGCTTTGTATATTTTAGAGTTGATTTTATGTTATAATGGAATGTAAAATGCTTACTTTTTCAGTTATTATTTAGTTATGAAAGAGCAAACACTTAAAGGCTAATCACTAATTACACACTTGTACTATACTGCTACCCCTTCTGCCTAGTATTGCAGTTTTCTTTTCTTTTCTTTTTTTTTGGTGGAACCAGGGATTGAGCTCAGGCCCTTGCGCTTGCCAGGGAAGGGAAGCGCTTATTCTACTGAGCCATCTCCCTAGCCCTGCAATTTTCATTTCTTGAGATGGACTTTTTTTTTTTTTTTGAGATTGACTTGTGTTTCTAGTTAAAAAATTTTGTTTAGATTTTTTGCTTTTGTAAAATAGCAAGGCAATACCACAGAGGTGATTATTGAAATAGCCTTTATAACTACTGATGTTTATATTCTTGGCCTCTAACACCTACTGTCTGCCTTGCGCGCCTGCCACTGTTACTCACAGTTGTAGTTCTAGGCTTGGAAGACTGAACCAGTCCGCCCCTGAGGGAGAGAAACCAATTGGAGAGTGAATGTCGGAATGTGAGTCCTGTTCAACTGATGTGCTAGATGCTAGTATTTACCATCTGGGTTTTGTTTCAGTGACTGCAAAATTCAGATCTTAAGGATTTTGGAGTTTAAATTTTTAAGGAAAAGACTAGGATGAAATGGTAGAAGGAATGGTAGCTAGAAGATCAGAAGTATGAGACTGGTCCTTTAACCCTGGTGCGTTTTGCCCACTTAGAACAAGAGGATCAAAACAAATAGAGTTCAATGATTTTGTCCACTTCTGATACTATTGTATGCTACTATATGAGGGGTTTTTTTTAGTATCTATAGCAAACCATGTACATCTTTTGCTTTAATAGGTACTGTCTTTGTTATTAAGATTCACTAAGATTCTTTTTCTCTAGGCTGGGGAGATAGCTCAGCAGCTTAAGTGCCTGCCAGGCAAGTGCAAGATCCTGAGTTCAATCCCCAGTACAAAAAAACAAAGAAAAAAAATCCCTCAAATCTTTATATTAGACTGGGTGTGATGGTGCACGCGTGTAATCTCAGCACTTGGGGGGTAAAAACAGGAGGGTCACTACGAGTTGGATGTGCATAGTGAGACCCCATAGACCCTGTACTAAAATTAAAAAAAAAAGCTTTTCTCCTGAGAGATGATAAAATTTGAGAAGACACTGGATCTTTTGTGCTTTTAAGTTTTCATAAAGGAAGAAGCTGAGGTGATAATTAAATCTATGTTGGACATTTCTAGGAAGATACTTTTAAAACATCCTCCTCCCCAACTACTAATGACTTACTTTGTCATGCTTAGTTATAAAAGAGTACTTCATCATGCTGGCTTTTGTTTTGACAATGTTGATTACAATAATTTTTCCTTTTCTTTTTGGAAGGTGAACGAGAAAGTCCTGTGTTTGCATTTCCTCTGCTCTTAAGAATAGAAGCCCACATTGAAAAGCTCTTCACATATTCTTTTTCATGGGACTTTGAATGCTCACAGTGTGGGCACCGATACCAAAACAGGTTAGTTTGTGTTTAAAATGGATTCATTCTTTTGAAATGGTTCTGAGTGATACCTTTTTTTTTTTTTTTTTTTGGTCTTTTTAAGATAGGGTCTCCCTATACAGGTCATGCTGGCCTTGAGGTTACTTTGTAGTCCAAATTTATAAAACTGGTTTGTACCTGTGTCCATATTCTCTCCTTGTTCCTCTGCTTTGACAGAATTTCCACTGCATTTTTAAGTCTTCACCACTGTGGGTGAACGTATTAGGACACCAGGAATTGCAGTTTGCTTGCTACTTTAAACCAGGAGAGTCAAAAATCAATGGTTTGAAAGATTGTTAATAGTTTTTATAAGAATTTTTATGTTGTCAGGAGCTGTGAACATCCATCATCCCATCTACTCAGGAGTTTGAGATCCGCCTGGGCACTATAGACTGTGTCTCAAGAACTTCTTTTGAAAAGGCAAGCAATTTAGCTCAGTAGTAGAGCTTTTGTCTAGCATACTCAAGGCTTTGGGGTCTATCTCTAGCACCAGAAAGAAATAAGGAATTTTTTAGTGAGGTGTGGAGACACTTTCCCTTAGTCCCATGAGCATATTCATGTACCTGAACTGTGTCAGCCATAAATTGTGCTCCCTCAAGGCTTTATGTAAAAGGTTAGAGAGTCTATGGTGATACATAAGGCCCTGAGATTGGCGTAAGAGAGATGGCATGGAAAAACTAGTGCAGATTCGTTTGCCTCCATACACCTACCAAATAGGGGAGGAGTTAGGTTCTAGGAGCTCAGTCAATAGGGCACATAGTTATCAGAATGCCCTTACTTGATTTGTACCTGAGAAAGTTGCTGGCTGGCAGTTAAAAACCTACCAGCCTCAACATGAAGTAAAAATGTGATGAAAAGACTACATATTCGTGATCTAAATGCAGTATGGGATTCTTTGTATGCATTTAGTTTTGAGACAGGGTCTTGCTATAGTTCATTCGGCCCTGAACTCACTGTGGAGCCCAAGATAGCCTTGAGCTCGCTGTGGTCCTGCTTCAGCCTCCCAAGTGCTGGGATTACAGTCATGCTGAGCTTTTGTATTTAGGGCACAAATAGGGTTTCCTTTAAGGGAGTGCTCTAGACCCTAGAGTCTAGGAACTGCAAGCAACAGAAACCATTTCGTTTTTAACCTGTTAAATTCAAAATTATGAGAATGCTTGGCTTCCATCTGGGAGGGAGTAACCCTAAGCAAGGAAGGATGAGGGGAGATTCCTGTGGAAAATGCTCTGTCATTTGTGTGAGTGATGTGCTTTGCTCCTCACAATAACTCAGGAAGCATCCTCCTTTAACAAATGGAGACACTAAAGCTTGCAAAGATTTAGAAGGTGCTCCAGGGCACTAGGAAGTGGCAGAAGCACAGGTTAGACCTTCTGGCCTCTGCGGCTTTACTGCTCACTGTGGTAAATTCCCTAATCATTACCTGGGTTTGAAATAATATAAGCAAAGCCAATGATTAGAATCAGCTTAATTACAGCTTTTCTAGAATATACATCCTAGTAGTTTGATAGCTTTTCATTAAGTCTGTTCTGGGTGCCAGCCACTCACCTAGCCTTTGGAAGTAATTCCTACCCTGGCCAAACTCAAGACTACTAGTTAGGGAGATAATGTATGAACATTTTGGAGGGGGCCAATGATTTTTGTAATTAATTTGATCTTTTAGCTCGTTTGTGTTATCTTTAGAGGGTAAATGTGCTTAGAGGTGTGCATAGACGGGGCTCCCAGTGCCCCAGGGGGGAAGCCACAGCCACTTTGTTTACATTTTGGTTTTGTTTCTTAAAAGTATTTTTTTCTTTGTTCTAAAAAATAGTTAATGAAGAAGAGCTAAAAAGAAGAAGCATTTCATTAAGAACACTGCAGAATTATAATTTAAAAACTGTGTAAGGTGAAGAAGGGCTGCCCAGCCGATTCATTTGTTTTGGGGCTGCTGTTCTGAGCCATGAAATGCTTTTGATGTAGAAAGTAGATTTTGGAAGGAGCTAAACATCTGACTGTTGGAGATGCACTGCCTGAGCTTAGGATTCTAGTTTATGGTCCAGCCTCTGGAACATCCCGTATACTTCAGTTTCCTCTGTAACATGAGTGAAAAAGAGTGGCACCTGCCACTTCCCTGTGTTTGAAGACAATGCCTGGCACTGGGCCTTGTGTTGTGCATAGTGCCCAGGAGTGCTGGGTTCACACTTGTTTGCTGAGACAACTCTTTGTTTACAAAATAAAAAATAAGAGCCTTTATTTACAGTTGTCTTTGAGAATGAAGAATGTTAACAGAATGGGCGCAGTACATTTGTTGGTACCTTTCTGTTGCTTTGTATTTAAAATGTTAATTTTCCTGAGAATATATTTTTAATAGCCAGTGCTTTATTTACAGTATGTCAGTATTTTTTATTTTGTAGAAAAACTGGTGTCTTTCTGGCAACATGTAACTGCTCTTTAAATGTAGTTTTACTAAATGGATATAGCTGAAATTCAGTGTTCATCTTAAAAAAATCTTCAGATAACTTGCTATCAAGTAGTCAGACTAAAGTACAAATTTAGAACTTGAATAACCTATGAAAAAGCAAAATTTTTGCATAGCTAATGATGTAATTCTTTTTAAGGGATCAAGCAAATTAAACAGTGTATTCCTGACTATATTTTTGGGAATACCCTTTTCACTTTTGGTTGTCAGTAATGGCCAGCCAGGGTGAGCTGGATGGGAGATGAGCTCCTCAATTTGATAGCCACAGAGTAGTCTGTCTCCGTGAGAGGCCGTATTGCTTCTCTGTAGGACATCCAGCTGTGGCTGGAGACGGCCAGTGACTGCCATTCAGCACTGACCCGGGTATTGGGAGTAAAGATCAGGGATGATGTAGGCATTCTCCAGTGTACAGAATAGCCCTCACAACAAAGAAGTATCTGGTGCAACACTTTAGCACCACTGTGTTGAAAAGCCCTGCTTTTCATACTTTCTTGCTTCTTCAGAGTTGAAAAGCTTGAGTGTTTAATGTGGAGAGTGTTTACAGAGAACTTCTTTACCAGGGATGGCATGAGCATCACCTTACTAATTCTGGAAAGTAAGAGTGTGCATAAACAAATGAAGGGATTATTTTAGGTATTGACTTGAATGTAAATAAATTTAATGTAAATGATTTAAAGCTGTCTTCTACTTTTATAGGTGTGTGAAGAATCTGGTCACGTTTACAAATGTCATCCCTGAGTGGCACCCACTTAATGCTGCCCATTTTGGCCCGTGCAACAGTTGCAACAGTAAATCGCAAATACGAAAAATGGTATTGGAAAAGTAAGTTAAAATTGCCTTGTAATTTTGCTTTTCTTGTTTAATATGTCAAAAGTAGCAACTACTATCTATGTTTAAGAAGTTTGCATTAACGTGTACTTAGGAATTGCCAGATATGTACTCTTCATTAAGAGCGGATATCTCCAGGGGATGTAAGCTGTCCTTAATGAAATGCCACTGTAGCAATAACTGTCTGGCCCATCCTCCTGGACTTTCCTCTTGTGCATTGGTGTGTTTTTTGTTGTTGTTGGTTTTTTTTTTTTTTTTTTTTGTACTGGGAATCAAACTCAGGACCTTGTGCTTGGCAGGCAAGCACTGTCCTGCTGAGATATATCCCCGGCCCTCTGGTCTTGCCTCTTATTTTTACCTTTTTTCCCCCCTCGCTGTATGGATATTAGATTTCTAGTGTTTCCTTCTGCCAAGTATCTGTCCCCAGAATTCTAAGATTTCTTTAATTTCAAGAATCAAGATGATTCAAAAATGAACTAAGGCTTATCTGTCAGATTTCTGTCTTGTCTCAAATCATAGCGTGCTGGTTGTTCACCACCTGCAAGCTTTCTGCTGCCCCTCAGAGTGTTTGCAATGTGTTTCACTGACTTTTCTGTTTGTCCTCAGTAGGAAGCTTGGTCAGAACTACCTTGTCCAGTGTTGCCAGAGTCAGTTTAAATTTACAGGTCAGTTCTATCTTCAGCAGTTGGTCTCAATCTGCTCGCCCATGCCCCATCCTCTTTAATATTCACTTTAAGTCTAACTATGTTAAGGAAATGAGGTATGATTTGATCTAACAAAGAACTAGTACCATTGAGCTCTGGTGCCCTTGAATCTGCCAGAAACTCCTGAGAATCCTTCCTGAAGTTTATTCTCACTGAAGTAACAATTTAGCTGTTAATTTAACACTGCCAACGCCTGCAAACAGGTGCAGGGTCCTGGGATTCTATCCCTGGGCCTGCTGTGCTGGCCCCGCCCCCAGGGCACACTGAGACCACAATTGAGACTGGATGTGGTGGCATGTGCCCGTAATCCCAGCTCTTGGGAGGCTGTAAACAGGCAGATCACTACAGGTCTGGTCTAGTAGTGAGGTCCTGAACACCCTGTAGACCCTTCCCTAAGATAAAAAAAAAAAAAAAAAAAAAAAAAAAAAACTGCCAAAAGGCTTTAGAGAGGTGGCAAACAGGACAGTCTCCAGGTTCCTACTTTAGCCAAGGTAGTGTTGACTTTGACATGGCCAAACAGTGTTTGGCTTCTGCTGTGCTCTGTTCTATTCTGTAGTGATTGAGAACGAGGATGCCTGCCGCAGCACGTACTCTCCATCTCTGTTCAGCTTTTTCCTGTCCTAGGGGAAGTGTGTTTTTGGTTGAAGCAGTTCTCAGTGTTTGTGTTACTATTAATACATGATTATTTCTCAGGCTGGTGAGATAGCTCAGTGGCATAAGCGCTTACTTGGCAAGCACAATGTCCAGAGTTTGATCCCTGATACCTAAAAAAAAAAAAAACCAAAACAAACCATAATTTCTCTCCAGCCAAGTAGTATACAAGCTTATGTTTATTCTCTTACAATTCTTTATTCATTTATGCTGTGCCTGTTTGGAAAGTGCAAGGTCCTGAGTTCAATGCCCTATACCCACAAAAACCAAAAAGCTAACATTAGCAATTCTTTATTCTTCCTAAAGTTGTCTTGTGTTTTGATTTGCTTTATTATTCATTATGAATTTATTTTATAAATGGTTTAAACAGCTCCCCTTTTCCCCTTTTTTGACAGAAGGATTTTTTTGGGGGGCGCTCAGGATGCCTTCAGGGCAGGTCTGGTTTGGCTTGAGGATGAGGGGATGAACCACAGCAACCTGAGCCTGACTGCTTTGTTTCAACAGGCACTTAAACACCTGAGCTATGGGGCCTGCCCCTTACCTCAGTTCTTTAGGTGGCTGCTTCAACAAAGCAGTCAGGCTCAGGTTGCTGTGGTTCATCCCCACAACTCAAGCCAGCCAAACCTGCCCTGAAGGCATTCGGAGCAAAACAACAGCAACAACAACAACAAAAACACCTGAGCTAATGGGCAGGCCCCCTTTCCCTTTATTTTGAGACAGTCTGGCTAAGTTGCTGAGGCTGGTTTGCCATGTTCCGACTATCCTGACTTGAGCAGCTTGGATTACAGATGTGCTCCACTACATCTAGTGCCAGTAGTTTTCTGATGCTCAGATTGCTTTAGGCTTTTTGATCTCCCCCACTTTCTCATCTTGTTTCTCCTAGAAACCTCTGTCCTGCCGACTTCCGTCTTTGGCTGTGATTTCCCAGTCGGCACTGGGCCTCTCTCGATCTAGCACTGGCTCCTCTTTATACACAGTCATTCCCAGCCCCACGCTTAGCTTGGGCCTTGTCCCATATTCCACAACATTCATTGCCTATAGATATTGAGTCCTTTGGGGGTTTTGTGGTACAGATAAGTTCTCATCAGTGTGCTGGTTCTGTAGCGCTGTGTCATCACTTAGTCTGTGCTGCTGCTTACAGTGCATTTTCTCTGTATTCTTAGTATTTATTGACTCCTTATTCATTTTCTCTTGCCTTTATCTTTTTTGGACTAATGCCTGTTTTTGTCCTTCACTATCATTCACTAGCATCTGAATGGGAGGCAAAGTGGGAAGAACGAGTGTGTCTTGAACCTAGTTTCTGAGATTTCTGAGTGGTTAGGGGTCCTCACTAGGAATCTTTTCCTTGATAAGGTTTAGGAAAGGCAGCAGGGTGTGGCCATATGCTCTCTTCCTCTGGGCTGTTGTTGGATTGCTTGAGGCTTCTTTTGGTACATAAATTTCACACTTTGCTTTTTCTCAAGCCTTGGGATTAAGGATTTCTTTTTTTTTTTTGGTACTGGTAATTGAACTTGGGATCTTGTATTTGCCAGGCAGGCACTTAAGCTGCCGAACTGTCTCCCAGGCTCTTTTTGTTTTGTTTGATATATTGCTTGATTTGATTGCATTGCAACATAGTCTTTTTAATTATATTCATACCTGGGCTTGCTTGCACTAAGGATTCATGCTGTGATCAAGAAATTTATCCATGGGATTATCCATAGTCAAAAATGTTTTAAGTTGCACTAGGATATATAGGCAAAATTTCTAATTTGGCTATTTCCTGTATTCTTAAAAAATGCATTCCTTGTGAAGATTTACTCAAATTTTAAATGACAAGATCATTAAGACCTTTATAAAATTTATGTAAAGTCATTTTGAAATTTCTTTTAACTTGATTTGGTGTCTAGTGAAATTTAGAAAAATCTTAATAACTTTTTAGGTATAACTTAAAAGTTATTAAGTCCATCCTGATACTATGAATACTCTAGTCATACAGTGTTTTAGAAACATAAGTTTCCTTTGCCTCAGATAATCCTTATTTTGATATGTCCCCATTAGAAAAAGAAACCCATTGATAAATCAGGTAAGTGATACCTACTGAGTTCAAATCTGGTATTGTTTTAATTGCTTAGCATTTATATTCAAAGCATGTGAAATATCAAGGTCTTAGAATCTGATTTAATTATGAGTCTCAAGCTTTCAAAGTGAACTTCTAAGCATTTCCACAGTCTCCTGTAGAAGTCTGGTTTTAACCTTCAGATTTATTTGTTTACTTGTTTGTATGTGTGTTTGTTTTTAATGTATTTGATTGTTACAGGGCCTCACTATGCGTCTTGGACTTGTAGTAATCCTGTTTTCAGCCTCCCCAGTGCTGGGCTTACAGGAATGCACCACTGCACCAGAGTCTGTGGCTGGCTCCTCTTGCCCTGGGGCAAGGCTGTTGCTGCACATGGTGCCGGGGATCAAACCATGGTACCTGCGCTTGCCTAAGCAGGTGCTTTAGTACCTGAGCTCTCTTGCCTACCCAACCTTCAGTTTTAACAGTGATTTATTTTTTCTTTTTTCCTTCAAAGCAATGTGTGCTTATTGAACTTAGTCAAGTGCCTCATTTTGAGGCTTTTATTTTCAGCAAGTAAACTGTACCCTACCCTGCAACATTTTATTTATTTATTTATTGGTGGAACTGGGGATTGAACTCAGGCCCTTGTGCTTGCCAGGGAAGCGCATATTTCACTGAGCCATCTCCCCAGCCCACCTGCAACATTTTAGGCAGAAACACTGATATGTAAAATAGTTTAATTTATATTTGGTAATTTTTCATTGTTTGACAGAAAATGCTTTTATCACTTGTTTATAAGGTTTTTGAAATTTGCCCCCAAAAGTTGCAAACCACTGTTGAGTAAATTTTTCTAACAGTGTATTTACTTGATACAGTTAGTATGTTCAGTTCTAATTACTTGAATTGCTTAGCTTATTCATATTTTTGCTTGGCAGAGTCTGAAATAGATACAATAAATCTTAAAATGTAATGAGATTTAAAAATTACATTTGCAGATATTTTTCTATACAGCTTAACTTACTATTATTCAGATGTACATAATATTCACATTGTTAAATTTCCATATTCTGAAATAATGAGTTATTACATAGTTGGAATGAAAATTAAAAACATGTACACCAGCCCATTAGCTCATGATGTGGCTATTTGTGGTGTGGAGGCCGGTTCCCTGCTGTCTGGGAAGCTGGAGTTTAGTCTCGTTATGCTTGCCTTCTCTCCTGCAATGTTTTTCTTTTCCTGAATTCAGTCTCATGTTAGGTAAATGCAAATAGGTCTTAGCTCTTGTTGACCTTTGGTTCTACTTCTGTTAATCCATTCTGTCCAAGATTGTTGTTGTTTGTAATACTTAAAGCAAACTAACTTCCCAGCTTGAGCTCTGAGCATTACTGTATCTGTGACCTTCTAGTATTAAAGGTAGAAAGAAGCCTAAGAACAAAACCTTGAGTACATTTCTGTCCTCATCTAAAAGGCTGGAAATGAGACAGGCTGGAGTTTGGGGTAGGAAAATACTCAACTTCTGGGGATACTTTTAAAAGTCTGAAAGTCCCAAAGAGTAGGAGGAAGAGGAAGAGAATGTTGTTTAATTCCAAGATAGCACT